TAGATGGAGAAATTTTAATAGAATAGACATACTTTATTTGTTCTAGGTTTTGTCCTTTTCTTGTTTTCCTCTAAGTGTTGTACTCAGCTGACTTTTAAAGCTCTTTCAAAAGGAATCAAAGATTTTTTCCAAGCACTAAGCTCACTTAGCTGATTGCTCCTTCCTGTGTTTCCAAAAAGGGCGATGGCAAAAGTAAATAACCCAGTCCTTCTTTTCAGTGTAGACAAGCAATGATCTGCTTCTCTGTTCTCTATTTTTCATTTATATGAAATAATAGCTGCATGAATCATGACAGCAGACAAGATAGAGGAGAGCAGGAGGCGGGGTTTACCAATCTACTTGCTCTGGAGAGCAGAGTTCGCTGCTTTTAGATGTTGTCGCCAAAGTCTCCAGTAGCAGAAAAAAGTTGCTAGATTTAGCGCCAGGCGTTTTTTTTAAATCAAAGTGCTAGAGGGGTCTGAAAAGTCACTAAATATAGTGATAAAAGTGCTAAGTTGGCAACACTGCTCTTCGCACCATTTGTTTTTAAATGGTTTGCTGCTGTCTGTTTGGACCTTTCTGAACATGTGAAGCAAATGGACTGATCCAATATGGTGGACACTGAAGGCGAGGGCTGAGACACACTTAATATCATAAGCGTTCTGATGGCATTTTAGAGAAATTATTTTGATTAAAAAAAAAAAAACAATGCACAAATGAGGAATAGTTGTATTAACTATACATGTAAACAGAGTTGTATGGGGCCCCCAGGAACTTGGGGCCCTGGGCAACTGCCTAGTATTGTCTAATGGTAAACCCGCCCCTGACCAAGACACCTAGCTGAAGAATTTTCAGCTCAGAAAAGTTTTGGTGGAAGATTGAACGTGATGTCAATTAACCTCTGAAGTTCTCAAAACAGTGGCAAGAAAACTACAGTAGGGACATAGATGTGTACATTTTTGTCTTTTTTTTCTATTTCTACCTGGCATGAGAAGCTGCTCTAAGGGCTACACTGTCTTGCTTGCATTAAATAAATCTTATAAAGTCTTTGTATTTGATTTTCATACCCTGCATGTTTAGAAAACAGAACAGGAAGCTGCAACAACTGAGCCGTCTACTTGCATTCTCCAGATGTCTTTTCTGGGTGAGTTAGGTAACGCTGCTACTGGCTGGCCTACTTCTGGCACCTGCACGGTCACATTCACATGGAGGCTTCAGCCAAGATTTAGGATGCGCGTGTGCCCGTGCCAAGTATCCATGGTGATGACTAGTAGTAGTTGACCTTCTCATGTTTCAGGTTATATAACCATAACCGCCATTTGGCAAGAATCAGACAAGTGATGGGGTGAAATCCGAGTCCCCTAAAGGCACTGACATCTAAGGGGATTGTTTAAAGGTTTGGAAAAACAGAAAATCAACACTTGTGCTCTAAAAAACTGGAGGTTAAAAGTTAAAATCAACGATGGATTAACTGGCAACAGTCAACTGCAGCTAGCAATTACAAATCATAAGCTGACAAATGAATCCAAATGGACTAAATCAAACAGTTAAATGCTGATTAGTGGGAGGCAGCATTAATGTTGACATGATGCAGCATATTGACAAAAACAGTGTTTCAATCCTCAGGTGGTTGGAATTAAATGTTTAGTCACAACATTAACTCAGACCTCCCAACTTCATGAAGCAGCTTATCTAAGCCTTACCTAACGAGGGAGAAAGCAAAAGCAGTAGTGGCATTAAGTAGGCCACTGGAGTCATGGGTAAGTCCCCACTGGGTGGCAGCGGCTCCAGATTTGGCTCTTGCAGAGGGAACTCTAAACGCTGCAGCATAATAACAAGACATGATCATTTTATGCTCCCAACCTTGTAGGAACAGTTTGGAGGTGGTCCCCTCCTCGCAAAAACGAAGGTCCATAGGACATTGATGAGTAATTTGCTGTAGTGGAACGCAACAATCTTGCAAAAGACATAAAGACACGTTCAGAGTAGCATTCAGCAAACTCAACAACTTAATGTAATGGTGGGACAATAGTTTTACTGGCATCTTCTCCAAAACCAGAGTTTTTTTCACACTCAGGGCACAACATCTTTATGTTTCAGCAGTTTTTTCCTGGTTCAACACACCGGATTTAATTGGTTTTGGGTCAGAGGCGCCGTATGGAGGGGAAAATTTAGGAAGATTCTAAGGGCCCTTGACTGAGGGGGCCCTAAAAGAAGAAGATAAGATTTATCCCGCTATATTTTTCAGATATAAAAAAAATCCATCAGTGAAATAAATTATCTTTGTGTTCTCCCTAATTTTCCAGCAGTAAATGGCGAAACAAAGCATGAATATATTGAATATATACTATTTTTTTGCGGTTGAAATATCATACTATTGAAAAATATCTATAAATTTCAATCATTCTTATGAGCAGCCTGAAGCAGCCACACCTAAACTACATGTATTGTCAATGTCATTACATGGATGAAAAAAAGGCTCTCAGGGGCAGCATAAAAATAATGTTTCCTTTAATAAAGTTATAGTGAAACCTAATTGAAATATATTTTCACAATCCAAAACCTATTTTATATTCATGTGTACATAGATACAGCTGTGCTTTTTGTTTTAAATGAGCTGTTTTTATTTTAATAGAATATAAATATAAAGTTTAAAGTTTTTTCACATAATGATAATTTTCCTTTGTAGAAATTTTACAAAAAAAATTACATGTAAAATTTAAATGATACTCTTTAGTACATTTTTATAGCAATATTAAAGCTTGAAAACATTTTATTTTTTTGTGTGAGGGGGGGCCAAATATCAATGTCTTTCATGGGGCCCCAAATTCCCGGGCTTTACCGTATTACCAGGAGAAGCAGCGCAAGTGAATTTAGACACCGTCGTCAGACAACATGGAGTGATTTTTAAATGTTTTAAAATAGGTTGGGTTTGGATCGAGGCCGTGGTCTCGCTAATCCGTGACCTCTGATCTAAACATACCGGGCCAAGTACCTTGAGGTTGACCATGATGCTTGTTGTGGAGACAGGCATTGTGTGCGTCAGGTCATAAAATCTCCTGTTATGGATACTTGATAATCTCAAGATGAACTCTGCTGCAGTTCTTTAAAGTTTAAGCCTTTATAATGTCCTTTGACTTTCTATCCTTCTAACTGAACATGATGAAACAAATGAGTATCTAGCAGTTATTTATTAGCTGCTTAGACATTTGCAACAACTATTGGCACTGTGTGTTCCTTCTATTTGATTAATAAAACCTCAAATTGACAGCAGCCTATTATATATCTCATAATAGGATGTGTGAACCATGGTTCTGTCACTTGTGAGATCTTATTTAAAGAGCCATCAATTTTTCTTGGATGTATTTTGGCTTGTCACAAAATTCGAAGAAAGCTTTGCTTAATGATTTTTAGGTCATAGTACCTTTTAGTTTTGTTATTTTATTATGATTTTCTTTTTTTGGACTCTTAGAATCAGATGTACTTTAATCTTAAGCAGGGAAAATTTCAGATTTTCAGTTTTCGGGGTGCTTAGCATCAGTGGTGGGCTTTGGACACATTCACATCAAAACTAGTGCATTTTAATATGTATGCACTTGTCTAAACCATCGCAATACAATGTTGTCAATATAATGCATTGATGCTCCTTCACCTTCTCAGTATCTTTCTTCTACAAGGAAATTCCCTTTAACATCCAATTGAAACCATAGCTAGTCTGATAGGCAACAGAGGCCTCTTCTCTATTAGCTCTGCTGATAGAGAAGACCTTTTACCGTGGGTATTACATTAACTTAAATGAAAAAAAAATGTTTTAAATTTTATGAAATGTACACTGTAGTCCCGGAGGTCAGAGGACAGGCAGGAGATCAGAACCGAGCAGACGAAAGAAGGCAGGAAAATCCAGAGGACCGAAGAGGTAAGTCAATCAAAAACACTCAGGTACACTAGAGAACTCTCACCAAAG